AATTCTAGAGACACTCTGAAAAGGTCTGTCTATGTGCCTTAGCAATTTTAACTCAAACGTATCCCAACAAGGAGGGCAAAAAATGGCAGAAACAGATTAGTAGGGAGTAAGCTCTGACTCCAAATCTTTCTGCAGTAGTGTCAATCACAATCACACCACTTCAGATTAAAAAAAAAAAAAAAAAACTTCACAAGGAAGGGGAATGGATAAAGAGGGGGGGAAAGGGACAATCTTTCGGGTTTATTTACAACAGCTGGGAGCCCCCGAAAGTGGCCATCAATCAGGGGTGGGCTGCTGAGTGTTCGCAGGGGTTTGGGAGAACCTCTAGCTAAGATTCTATGCAGTTTGGAGAAGCGCCAAATTCTACTCCTGGCTGGCCCTGTCCACCCTGCCCTCCCCTCCCAGGAGTCCCCACACAGCCTGTTTTGGATGCAGGTAAGTGCAGAGCGCACATGGAGGCTCAGGGAGGGCAAAAAACGGGCGTACCGGAAGTTCAGGAAGGCCGGAAACGGGCCCGCCAGAGGGTCTCTGGAGCTTGTGGAGGCCATTTTTACCCTCCTGGAAGCTCAAGAAAAGCCGGGGAGGGCAAAAACACCCACCCACCCATGGTACAGGAGGCCGACTAGGCCACACCCACCATGGCCATGCCCACCCAGCAGCTGGGCAGAGAACCCCTTGCTAGAATTTTTGAAGCCCACCCCTAGCCATCATATAACAGAGTCTTCCTTGTACTCCCAATACTGCTGCCACAGATATGAGTCTATATTCACTAGAAATGAGAGAATAGTGCCTTTCGAGATGCTTACAACGGTCTCCTCCAGCCCCTTGAGGTCTTGCTTGGACTGCTCGTGGCGCTCGTAGAGAAATCTGTGAAGCAGAAAGAACATGTGGGGTAAAGACGTCATGGGAAAAGTGTTCTCAGAAGAATTTAATCCTCGCTGAAGCATTACTCTAGTAGCACAGGCTGGTGCTGTCTATTGCCTTAAGTTTTAGAATCCTGCATATGGTCAAGATTAGAGGCAGTCATAGATATGCAGGGTGGGCAGGCTTCAAAGGAATGCCATTTGGTGGGCCCAGAAAGCGAGCCTTTTCTGAAGTAGCGTCTGCCTGATGGAGAGCAGGATGTTCTCAATCTTTCAGGTCCTTTGTAGAGACCTGGCTTTGTGCCTAGACTGGGGGCCCTGGAGAAGTCAAGGGACCTATCTCCTAGCTGTGTTAATACTTCCTGGGCTGCTATGTATTTTCATTCTTGTTCGCCGCCCAGTCACCTATTCAGATGGCCGGCTATACAAACTGATTTAAAAAAAATAATGGCTAATTAATTTTCACCTTCTGAGCTTTTACAATCTTTTACAACTTTTACCAGGGTTAGGGTTCTTTTCCCCATTGCTTCTTTGAATGCCATGCCTACATATTCCAAAATGTAGGTGTGTACAGAACTAAAGATGATTGAACTAGGACAAAAACTTGACTTGATACAATCACTCCCCAAATGCTTAATCATCCTGTCTTCTGCCCTTTGAAAAATTGTCACAATTAGTGGCAATTTTGGGAGGGCTCTATGGGTTCCATTGCAGGCTTACCAGAAGGCCATGGGCCTTAGATTGTACATGCCTGTTTTATAAAATCTTAGGACACAGTGTTTTTTTTTTGTTGAAGGAAGGAAACTTGGGTAGTGAGTAGCCGAATTCAATTGCATTTATGTGAGAGTAGGCAGATATGGTGGCAGAGAAAAACCAAGCCCTGTAACAGGAGGAATGGTGCACCAATCCCTTCCAGATAACTCCATTGCAGATGAATATAAATAATCTCTTACAGTTGGGGATTGAGCACCTTTTATTTTGACCCAAGCTGTAAAATGTTCTAGAGCTATTCTACGTAGGAAAAGGAGAAACCCCATATGGGTCATCATGGAAGCAGTGAAGAAGGAAGTGAGACACAGCAGGCTTGAACAAATTCTTATTGGGCGAGGAAGGAAACAGGAAATGTACAAAGCTTTAGAACAAGGGTGTCAAACTCAAGGCCCATGGGCTGAATCCAGTCCATGGGGTCCATGAAGTCCTTCGATCTGGCCTGTGGGGCCACCCTGGAAACAGCGAAGGACCGGCCCACAGTGCCTCTGCCGTGAGCTCCGTTTTTGTTGGCAGAGGGTGGCAGGAGGCTGTCACAGCCAAAAATGGATGTGAGCCCGTTTTCTCAGGTACCACAGAGACCCCTGACACAAGTGATGTCAAGCTGGCCATGCCCATCCTGCCTCCCCACCCCCTCAAAGTCAAACACAACCCTAATGCGGCCTTGAATGAAATTGAGTTTGACACCCCTGCTTTAGAAATAGGAAACAGGACCCGGTCATGACATTTCCTTGTAAAGAATGATCTTCAATTTAGGATAATCTTTTGCGGTGAAGCAGGTATATGTTCTTTTTTTAACCAAATATATTTAAATTATTAAATGTGCTCTCCTCCCGATTGAGTTATAGTTCCTTCCCCCACTCACTACAGGGGTTTTAATGTACTTCAGCTTTTCCCAACTGATGCCTGCTGGCATCAAATCCCAGAGTTCATCAGGACCAAACACATTTTGTTTTAGAGAGTGGGACTTATTCTTAAACACAGGGGTGAAGAAAGACAGTTGAAAATGTCTGGGGAAAAGAAGAGTCCTCACGTCAGCTCCTGAAGCTTTTGTGTTTTCTCTTGCTCCTCATTCTTGAGTTTCTCATAGTCAGCACGAAGTTTCTCCAGTTCAAGCTCTAACTTCTGGTTTAAGCTGGACAGGAAAGAATGTATGGAGAAATATACTATTGTTGGGATGGTAAGCTAATTATCATAGTTATTCAGCAGCCTTTCAATTTAGCATAAGATCAGCAAAAGGATTCAATGTTAAAGGCTCAAAACTTGGAGACTAAAAAGCCAAAGCCTCCGATGCTTAAAGGTAAGGTAAAGATTCCCCTCGCACATATGTACTAGTTGTTCCTGACTCTAGGGGGCGGGGCTCATCTCCGTTTCAAAGCCAAAGAGACAGCGCTGTCCAAAAACGTCTCTGTGGTCATGTGGCCAGCATGGCTAAATGCTGAAGGCTCATGGAACTCTGTTACCTTCCCACCAAACATGGTTCCTATTTTTCTACTTGCATTTTTACATGCTTTCGAACTGCTAGGTTGGCAGAAGCTGGGACAAGTAACGGGAGCTCACTCTGTTACGTGGCACTGGTGATTCGAACAGCCGAACTGCCGACCTTTCTGATGGACAAGCTCAGCGTCTTAGCCAATGAACACCTGTGTCCCTCTCTAATGCTCTCTGATGCTTAAAGGACTGCATTTCAGGACAATGTACTGTATAAAAGAGGACATATTTTAAGAGCCGCGATGGCACAGTGGTTAGAGTGCAGTACTGCAGGCTATTTCTGCTGCTCATTGGCTGCCAACAGATTTGGCAGCCAGTTTGGCAGATCAAATCTCACCAGGCTCAAGGTTGACTCAGCCTTCCATCCTTCCAAGGTGGGTAGAATGAGGACCCAGATTGTTGGGAGCAATATGCTGACTCTGTAAACCGCTTAGAGAAGGTTGTAAAGCATTGTGAAGCGGTATATAAGTCTAAGTGCTATAAGTGCTATATCTGAGTCAACCATCTTTCAAGCCTTTCTATCACAACCAGCTGCTGGTTGTAGGTTTAGCATTGGTATAAATGGATTCTTAACTGCAGCAATCCAGCCTAAGGAATTTTTATTAGGGCAAGTTCTATTGAATGAACCTTAGCTCTCAGGAAGGAATTACTGGCCTTAAATTAGTTACAGTTCACAGTGTCTCAGGGGTCTTAATTAGCAGTCTATAAATCCTATTGATTGTACACAAATTAAAGAATACCTGACAGCTGAATTTATGTCACACAAGAGATATGGGTATACAGTAGTGCAACAACTCTAGCTACACTACATGGCCATTACTTCTAGAATTAATTAACATGAGATTTCTGCTATTTGGTTCCTCCATACTTATTAAGAAACACTATAAATCTCAAATTGTTAGTAAGCATGCTTCTTAAGAATTCTGGGAGTTGTAGTCCTAACACAGCTGGAGTGTGCGAGGTAGGTGATGGATGATTTACCCCCTACTTCCATCTTTGCTTCTAATTTCTATTCTACGCATGTTCATAAATGGTTGCTGCTTATTTTATTCCTTTCACATTAGTCCTGCCTTGTAAACCTTGTCCAATTTTCTGCTGATACTGTGCCATCAGTCTCTTGAAACTGATTAAGTCAGACCCTGCCAAAAACAAAAACACCCAGCTTCTCATATCCAACATAACCTATTTTATAATGAGAATCTCTCTCCTTCCCATCAGAACAACTTGCTCCAGCCTAACAATGACTCACTCTTTAAGCTCATCAATGATTTTCTGCTTCTGGTTGATCTCATCACGTAGGCGTGCCAACTGCTTGTGGTGGGCTTCGCGGTGACTCTCTAGCTGCACTTCCAAGGCCTTCTGTAGGAAAAGAAAGCAGTTCAAAAGTGTAGATAGCAGTGCTAGGGCCCCTCATAAAGCAGCAAATCTTGGACACTCTTCAAAAATATATTATTTTCCAGCAAAGCCATGCTCTTTTCAACAACCCATCTTATTCTTGTCCTCTTTTTTTTCTTGCGCCATCCTGGCTCACAGAAGTCGCAGATGCACGATGAAGTCTTATATCTTTACTAAAAAGGCACTCTAGCAGAACTCTAGTGACAAAAAGGTTGGACAAACAATTGTAGCCCCTCATGATTTACTCAGACCACAAAACTCAACCAGCTTAAAGGCGAGAGAGTGTTCAAATCATAAATAAGGTACCAGGGGATCAGTCAGTTGTGGTATCAGAGTCCAGACTTATACTACTTGAGAAAGCAAGCTAAAGAGTTGGGGAATAAGGTGGTGAGGTAAATGGAGGGCTGTTGCCAATTGATGGATGAGGCACTCCTTATTCAGGGGCAGTGTGATTTGAATTTGTGGTTGTTGGGGGGGGGTAGCCTGCGTGCATCTGTGTTTGTGTCTATATTCAATCTGGCCAATTCTTGATGAGCTTCTTTTGCTCAGTCCCCTTTCTTGCACTGGGGAGGCCCTTGCACTGGGGAGTGGGTGCTAGTTTTGCCTCTCCATCTTCTAAGGCCTTTGATAGCTGCCTCTCCAGGTTGCTAGGCAACACTGCTTTCCCTGCCTGCAACTCTTCCAGTGAATACCCTCAGGCTGATGACTCTCCTGTAATTGCTCTGCATCTTCTGAATCTGAGCTAGCCATGCATGACAGTTCTCCTTTTGGAGCCTGAAATAGGCCTGTTTGGTCCTCTGTTACTCTCTGTTACTTTTATTTCCTCTGTCTCTACCCCTCTTCTTAATTAATGCCGCCAGGGGCCAAAGGGATTGTGTAAGTGGGATAAAACACCCTTGATGAAGAAAGACAAGCCTTATCTCTTCTACTAACTTTTACTTCATCTGTATCTTGTATCAGGTCCTGCTCCTTGCCAACGTCATGCACCGTCTCTGTGGGAGAGAAGAAAGGTCCTTAATGAGAGGATGTTAGACAGAGTTAGAGCATGGGTTGATGACCAGTGTTGGATTAGTAATTTGGTTTCTTGATCTAGGAGACTAGGCTAAAACATCAATTGCTCCTTTAATTTTCTATGATTTCTTAAGCAGGTTATTCTCTCAATTTTATCTCTCAATCTCAAGATTTAAGTGCAGAGTAAAACGTTTCTTTTAAAAGATTTTTTTCTGTATCCCCTCCTTTACCTATAAAATGGAAACAGTAATCTGCCTCGTACCATTATACATATAGGAAAAGCTTTATGTAAAAAAAAATGAACAGGCTACATACAAAGAATAAATAATAACAGGAAAGAGCTACTGTGGAGATTCACCCATGGTCAAGAATCCAAATTGTAAGCAACACTATATGCAAGGACTCAAATATTCTGCATTAAAAGCTGTATTCTGCAACCACTCTGACCTACTCATTTCCTGAATTATTCACATACTTCTGTACCAATCAGAGGTGGGTTCCTACTGGTTCGGACCACTTGGGACCAATTCGGCCGAGTAGGAGGTAACTTGGCTTGCCACACCCTCTGAACTGGTTCTCTCCACGGCGCTTTAGGCACCGCCATCTTGTTTTTTGCTTCTGCGCATGCACAGAAGCATTGTTTTTAGTACTACGCATGCACGCATAGTGTGCATCAAGTGCACATTGACGCAAAGTGCACACCTGCAGCACGTCCCTGAGCAAACCAGCAGTAGCAGCAGCTGGAACCCAACCCTGGTACCAATCATAAACTATGCCATAAGTCCAGTACTCTACACATTACCTTGGGCCTGCAGTTTAGCTAACTCTTCACTCAGAGCATCATAGGATTCTTCCAGGTTCCGTTTCTTCAGCTCCACACTCTGCATGTACTCAGTAAGCGAACGGATCTTGACTTCATGCTGAGAAGATTAAGAAATGTAAGCAAATAAGAGATCCCTTTCATAAACGTAGTCCCGATTCCAGACTTCCCAATCTCATTTTCTATGAGGAAGAATCCAACTTTCTCCTTGTCCAAGGTTGGAAACTGTCATCTCTCCTCAAATACATCTTCAGAGTTCCAAAATAAAGAGGGGGCCAAGCAATCAAGAAGTCCCTTCAATGCTACATTTCAAGAGTACAGCTATCATACTTTACAGTACAATTCTATGCTAGTATATCCAGAAACTACAATCAATAGGACACTTCTAAGAAATAATACACTTAATTAATTAGATTAGACTAGGATTAATATTAATTAGATAGATCATTGCTCCCTTTTTGAATCAGGACATGTTTTTGGAGCAAAAAATAATCAATGTGTGTGCTTGTTGTGGGTGTAGATGTGTTGTGTGCTTTCCCCATTTCACATTACACCCTCATAAAGTTCTTCATGGAGCTGTGGATTCATGAACATTTACTAGCAGAATATTTTAATTAAAAGAAAGGAAGGTTTGTGTGATCCAGAACCAGAAAATAAAAAAATGGGGAAAGAATTTAACTTATCCTCAATCTGCTACTTCTCTGATCCCATCTTAAAGATTGGTATATATAGAATTATGCCATGCAACAGCATGAAGTCTGGCCCCAGGGTTACGTCTCAAAATATTAAATATTAAAACAGAGAAATGTGTGGTCTATATTTAGATTTCTCATTGTTTTCATATGCATTTAGAAGCAATCGCGAGAAGATTGGAAAATGGATTAGAATAGTGTCATTAGAGAAAGAAGGTTAATATAGGAATTAGTATTTGAAAAAAATAGAAATAGAAGAAGGGTTAAGCCCTCTCCTCTGTGATTTAAAAACAACAAACAAAGATCCCATTTTCAAGTAGGGCTTCCAATGACACCAGCTCCACAGTTTATGCTGATCCATTGTTACAGATATTACCATGTCCAAAAAAACATTAAAATTCCTGTCAGGAAACAGCAGAGTATGTGATTCTAGTCGCTCTGCTTTAGCTTGCTCTTCCAGTTTCATTATGATAAATATTTAAAGAGACATATGACTTCTAAAGGCCTGCTATAAGGAACATTCATGCATTGATAGCAATGGAGTCTTCCCCATCACTATTGAAACAATAGTAGAAGCAATAAACTAGATCAGTGTTGGCGAACCTTTTCAGCACTGAGTGCCAAAACGGGAGTGCACGCACAAATATGGGACAGTGCCAGAAACTGGAAGAGCAGCTCCCCAGTGCGCATGCACAGGAGTGCCGAAAACTGGAAGAGCAGTTCCCCGGCACACGTGAGCACACTGGGAAGCTGAGTTTCCAGTTTCCAGTGTGCTCATGCATGCTGGTCACCTGGTCTTCTGGTTTCTGGCGTGCATGCGTGCGTGAAGACCAGCTGGCCGGAACCCAGAAGACCAACAGGCAATGGCTGGCATGCCAGGAGAGATAGCTCTGCATGCCACTTCCAGCACATGTGCTATATAGAGTCGCCATCATGGAACTAGATCAACAAGGCCGGTGATGCAAGCTACAAAGCTCCTGAACCTAGACACCGAACCAAAGCTGGAACCAGTCATCTAAGGTCTCCTCAATTAGGAACCCTCACTGATCTCCCAAAAAAGATTTCCCACCGTATCTATCCTCCTTTATTCTGGCCCTCTTTATTTCTTCTACCCTTTATCAGTTTTAAATGCCACAGCTAGTGTCCTTTCATCCTCACTTCCATGGAATCTGACCTGAGAAATGAGAAGCTGGCAGGAAGACAGTTCCCGTCCTGTCACCTCCATCTTGCGGTGGCATTCAACTTGAAGACCTTCCAGCTGGCGGCAACGTTTCACCACAGACTTCACTTCTGATTTGATCTTGCTGATGTAGAGTCGGGCAACAGTAAATTCTTCCTCAATGGCACCACTAATCTCTACTGGCTAAAAAATAATGATTTTAAAAGGGAGCATATTATTTGAGGAATAGTCCTTGACTTACAACTGTTCATTTAGTGACCATTCAAAATGACAACTGTACTGAAAAATGTGACTGCTGACCGTTTTTCACAGTTATGATCAGGGGTGGGATTCTACCAGTTCGGACAGGTTTGGGAGAACCGGTTTGCTCTGATGATCAGGTGGGTCCACCCACCCGCCCCTGCGCTTTACTGACCTATATCCTCTCAGCTAATTTGAGCAACAGAGCGGATTGCTGCGCCCCAGCTGTGTTATTCCCCAGAAGTAACGCGGCAGGTAGGTTTTCTTAAAACTGTGCACGTGCATGCACTATGCGTCAGGTGCGAAGCACATGATCACCAAACCGGTTGTTAAACTGGCAGGATCCTACCCCTTATGATCTTTGAAGCATCCCCATGCTCACATGATTACAGTTCAGATACAACTGGTTCATACTTATGACGGTTGCAGTGTCCCAGGGTCATATGATCCCGTTTTGTAACCTTCTGACAAGCAAAGTCAATAGGGAAGCCAGATTCGTTTAAGAACCGGATTACTAACTTATCAACTGCAGTGATTCACTTAACAATTGTGGCTAAAAAAAAGTCATAGAATGGGGAAAATCAATTAACAAATGTCTCACTTAACAACAGAAATTTTGGACTCAATTGTGGTCATGGGTCAAGAATTGTCTGTAGTTCAATGTATGATTCTAAGAAGAACTGTTTATACATCCTTCCTTCTTTCCTTTGCTCATCAGATGGCACTGTTCCCGCTATTTCACTGTTCACTAGATTCCACTATTTGCTAAGTAGTTTTTCTCATTTTCTTCAATTTTGTATGTGGTAAGGTCAGCACTAAATGAACCTTTCTATTCCCATTTTTAAAAAAATGGACGCAACATTTAAAAGGGCTTGGTTAAATAGAACAAAGAAAACAATTAGGAATTTCCCCAGATCCACCTTATATGTTTTTAAACTGAGAAAGAATGACTACTTTTCTTCTTTCCAAACATTGACTCCCCTAGCAACTGCTTACCAGTTTGATCTCACCGTTGCCCACAATGACGCTGAATTCACTCAGATCCTTCATAAGGCCGTTGAGGACCTCAGCAATGCGTTTGCGCTGGTGCCCACTGAATTCCTGTAGGCGTTGCAACTCTGATTCCAAAGATAACATGGTGGCCTGAAAAGATAAAGACACCTATGGCTTATCCAGCTCAAAGAGAATTCCTCTGGTTTAAAAATGAGGGGCTCTCCATTTTTAATTAAGGGGAAAAGACCTTAATTTCTTGAAATAAATTAAATTAATTCTTAAATTAACAATTTAATTTCTTGTTTCTTAATTTAAATGTGAGCCCTCTGGTTAGGAATTAGATTATACCAAACAAAATTAAGATGAAAAAGATTGTTTAAACTTGAACATATGCAAGGGCTCTGAGTAAATATCTAACTGGACACCATAGCACATCCATTCCCTTTGCTATAGGAATGGAATTTTCACTAGTTAAACCAAAAAGGCTATGGTGAATTTATTTATTATTTATTAATTAGACTTATATACCGCTTCATAGAGATTTCAGCCCCCCCTAAGCGGTTTACAGATTTTTAGCAAATTGAGTCAGCAAATTGCCCCCACACCCACCTCGGAAGGATGGAAGGCTGAGTCAACCTTGAGCCGGTGAGATTTGAACTGCTGAACTGCAGATAACAGTCAGCTGAAGTGGCCTGTAGTACTGCACCCTAACCTCTGCGCCACCTCGGCTCTTTCTTTTTATTAGACCAATCTATGAACACCTGGTGGTATTGCAGCCTTTCTCTAAGGAATCTCTCTATACCACCATTGTTTTCTTTTTGGCATCCTAAGAAAACTTCTTTAGTCACTCAATGTCTTTTTAAGAACTTCACGAAGTCCTTTTGAAGTTTTGATGAATGTATTGATTCCAGAAGGGTAACATTTGAACCTGTTAAATTTTAACTTGTGTTTTACAGTTCCGCAAGGAGATCTCGGCACTTACCACTTTCTGAGACAACTCATCCACCAACAGCTGATTCTGCTGACTCTTCTCTTCTACCTCCTGGGATTTCTGATCGTAGTTGACAGCCAGTTCCTCCAGAGCTTGCAATACCTCCTTCACCTCCTCCTTAGCAGAATCATTCTCAGACTGCAGATGGCTTAGTTCCTGCTGCACTTTTTCATTGTCCCCACGAGTGGATATTAGCAGCTATCAGAGGGAAAGGGGGGTGTGAGTTAGTAATGTCAGAGAAATGTCAGGGAAGATAGAAGAAAGGCGGCCAAATGTGGATGATGTAAAAAGTGGAAGAAATATAGAGATATACAGAGTGCTAAGAAATAGAAGGCCGTTACAGTTACCATATATTAGTCTTTCTCTACCCAATTGCCTTCTGATTATATATCCATCAACTCCAGTCAGATGTGGTGTGCTTAAAATCATCACAGCTGCAATCTAATACAGCCTGAGGATACTTAACTGGGCAAGACTGGAATACAATTACAGTATTTAATTATAGTGCAGGGAAGACCAGGACAAAATCCATAGCGGGCTACTAAGCTCATTAGCCACACATCATCATCTCTCATAGGACTGTTGGGAGGACAGTGTGATGAGAAAGAATGATCTATGATATCATCTGGCTTAAACTAAGTAACAAAGATAAAAAGTCAGGATGCACTTTTTATCCATGCTTGTGCATAAAAATACTCTTGAGAAATTGCTCACCTCCTCCTGGTCCAGCATCTGCTCTTTTAATTTCTCCATCAGTTGGCTCTGCTGATTGATTTCATCATCCTGATTGGACAAAAATATATCATTGCTAACTACCTTATGCTGTGTCCATGGAGATGGAGGTTAAAAGCAACCCAGGAGAAGTTTACTTAGGATGGAGGAGAGATGTCTACCTTATCATCAAGCTGCTTGTAGAGTTTGCGGATCTCCTCCTCATACTTATGCCTCTCCTCGTCTGAGATCCGGATGACGATGGAGGAGTTGTTATCATTAATGGGTGTCTCATCACAAGTGTCAGGTACCACCTTCTCCTCATCACTCAACTGTTCTGTTTCTGGGACATTCTCACCTAAAAATGTTTAAATAGAAAAGGGACATTTTCACACACTTATTTTACTGCTATGATTATTATTAATCACAAGGTACCATAGTGCCTTTCAGGGACAGATCTGTGCAATGATTACATGAGAAATCACACTTTACCCACCATCCTAGAAATATGAAGCCCATTCAGAGGAATCAGAATTAAGGAAACTAGGTGCCCTTTGCCAGTGTAGACAAACACTGCAATTCAAGGCCATTTTGGTCCAAATCTCTGAATGGAGAGTGGATTATGCCACTAATTTTTCACAATAAGCATCTAATGTATTAAAAGAATATTACATCTGTTTCATCATAGGAATAAAATAGGAATCAAAAATTCAAGGAAGAGAAATTACATTGCACAAGTTCTCAAGTTCACTCCTTAGCATATCCATCACCTGCCAGTTGAATAGTCTGACTTGATACATGACAGATATCTAGTTTTTTATGACTGTCTCTTGCATTTCATCCCTCTAAGACACCTTGTTATATCTGCACTTATTATTTAGTTCCTAGGCAACCTGAGGCATCATTATTACATCATACATACATGTAGCATATGGCTGGGATCATCTGTCCTTAAACTTAGATGAAGCAATGTGACAGTTCAGGACACTGATAACTATTTCCAAAGTCTTTCTATTAGGCAAATACAGTCTAGCCATAGTCCTTGTTTGCATCCTTGCATTTTAAAAAAAATTCCATTCCAAATATTTATCGGTATTATAGAAAAATGAGGAAATGTGCAATTTTCATTGTTTAGTTTCAGGTACAAATAGATTTTACTCAAAACCCAGCCTTTTGTTCATATGTTAACTTGTCAATATATGGTTGATATATAGAGGAAATACATCTACTACTAATCTCACTTAATTCTGAAAGACGAAACAGGAATGCAGTCAACAGCAAAGCAAAGAGGACCTTTGTTTTCTTTGCACCCAACCTACCATTGCGCCAACGTCCTAGCTCAGCCTCCAACTTGGCAATTGTCTCCTTGAGGTTCTTGTTCTTCTCCTTCTCCTTCTCAAATTTCTTCTTCCATTGTTCTGCTGTCAGTTCCAGATTCACTGATGCTGTATTCTTGATGGTCTTGGCCCTGAAATGGAAGAGAGTATCTTTATGGAGAAGACTTTGCTTTGTTTAGTGGACATTCTGCTTTGATTGATTGATTGTTTGGTTGATCCGACTTGTTTTTGATTCCTAGCAACCACATAGATACATTTTCTTCATGATGATGTATCCATAATCAGATCTTTCAGGTTTTCCAACAGTGTACTCATTGCTACCAAAATTGAGTTCATTCACCTTGCTGCTTCTCTTTCCTTCCAAGGCATTCTACTACACTCTATTTGTTATATTTATCATCTTCCTAGTACTGACGCAGATGACTGAAGCTCTAAAAATACAGGAAGGTCTTACTATACTACATTGCTCATTAACTAGCAGGAATGATATTCGTCCATCGTGTTTGAAGAGGACCTTGACATCTAGCAGGTTGTAGGCTGTCCACGATGTGTCTGCAGGTGGCTGATAAGGCCTATACGGGCATGAAATGTTCTACCACATGTCGGCAAGACATGGGTGAGCACCATTGTTGAAGCATTTGCAGCTCTGGCTTTGCGGAGAGATACTATACTGCATTGCTCACTGACTAGCAGGAATAGGTTTTAAGGCTAGAGTTTACCTCAACAGAAGATGCTTATGATCAAACAATGGCTCTTTCTACGCAAGGCTTGTGTTCCACAGCTGAAGTCAGTCCTTTCCCTAGGGGCCTCATCTCCAAAATAGCAGCAGAATCATTTTACCTGCTATTCCAATACCTGGCCTTTTCAAAATACTATTCAAAACAGTATCCATTCAAAAAGAAATTCTGTCAGTACGCTTACCGCTGTCCAAACATGAGAGTAGATTTGGTCTCGGCATCATTATAGCTGGAAGGAGAGCAGCAGATAAACATTGTTGTGCGGCAGTTCCCACCGAGGGAGTCTTGCAGGATACGGGTCATCTTGCTATCTCGGTAGGGCACATAGCTTTTCTGCATGAGATAATGGGAGTGAACATATTTGGCCTTTTTCACACAGACAAAATTGACCACAGGAATGTCAATCTACTCACAGTTCTTATCAATTTTTTTTAAAAAAACCTATACATCCAACAGTCAGGGACAAGCAAACCCATCAGAAATTTCATCTTCCAGATAGGAAAGGAAAAACCTAAATCATCAGAAGCAAATAATTAAGAGCAATGTATTTTCCTAGAGCGGAAAACATATTCCCAGCAGTTCTGACTGTATCAGATGTTTTCGCTACATCTTTCCCCAAACTGATGTTCTTCAAGCCACCATTCCCAGAAGTCCTAAAGTCACGTCAGCTATAAATTTTGGGAGTTATTCTTGGGCTATAACTTCAGATGTTAGGCCAATTCCCATACTCCCAAAACAGCTGGTAGAGGTTGTTTTCCTTTTTTCCCTTTGGTTGTGTTAATTGAAGGATAGTTAGTTCTGTCTGTTGGATGCTGCTTATGTTATTTATCATCTTGTTTATTGTTTTCATTCCACCCAGTGATGTACTTGAGATGGGTGGCCACATAAATTTAATAAATAAATACAACTTTAGATATCAGTATAGCACCAGGATGGGGAAAGCTGGCAAGCAATCTTTTTGTTAAGGGGTGCACTACTCACTGTGCCCTCAGCCAGAGCTGAGATAACATTCCCAAGTGCCGACAGAGATTTATTGATATTCTTGGCCTCATCCAACACAGCTCCCTCAGCTCCAGTTTTGCTGACCTGCCAGGAGAAGGCATTTGTTTATTATAAAGCAGATACATCCTTATGTTATATGAAATCCTAAATGAGGCTTTCTTCTCTGAATAAACAAGCTTCCTAGGTATTGGGAGAAAACCAACGGAACCAACTAGAAGGCCCAGAAGAATTGGGATAGACGGGGAGACCAATGAAAAGTAATTGTCCCAAACATCTGAAATGTATTTCAGTCCAAAAACAGTTCAAGCAAGCTCCCTGTCGTTTCCTTTGGGTGACAGACAGTTATGGCTGGCAAATCAGGACCTAATCTCCCATTCAGTGATTTCCCAATACACTATTCAGACTTGCCACCTAACTGCATTTAAAGCATGTAGCTCTTTGGAGATCCCTTAGATATGGATTTGGAGACCTGTCATTCAAATAATGGGTTTCCTGAAGCTCAGGAGAGGAGAATAGGACATTTTAATGAGTCTTAACTTCAAGGTATATATTTTATGAAAACATTGCTGAGATACAGTACACCGGGGTGAAATGCTACTGGTTCGGACTGGTTCGCCCGAACCGGTAGCAAAGATGCCAACTGTTTGTCTGAACAGTAGTAAAGAAAATGTTACCGTTTTTTCTGACAATCAGCTGTCCTGCGTGATTTATATTTAGATTATAGTATAATCTAAATCACGTGGCACAGCGGATTCCCCTCCCCCTCGCTGTTCACGTACTCACTTGCCAGGTGCACTCGGTAGCAGCCTCTGCCCACCTGCCCAGATGTCATTTTTACACTCTGCGCATGCACGGAAGGTCCTGTGTATGCATGGAGGTGGCGCGCGTGCATGTGCTCACATTACTACCAAACCGATAACAAAGATAAGTGGATTTCACCCCTGAAGTACATGTATGATGTTTACATTGCACTCATATCAGAAGCACCAAGGTGCTTCCAAACTGAAAGGATTAGCTGGTGACATTACTGTTTCCTGGGAGACACCCAGTTTGTGGTTTCTTTCCTGTTCCTGGCGGGAGCTGGAGCAAAGACTGGGTGCTCACCCCACCCCATGGTTCCAACCACTCCAACCCAGTGTCCTAACCATAAAAGTCACCATGCTCATGTATGATGCTAATCTTAGCTTATGAAATAAATCAAATTCTGCTTGGTTCCACGCTCAGATCTCTTTTAAGCCCCGAGCACCTTTTCGCTGCCAGCCAAATCCACCAGGTAAAGCTTCCCACTCAGTTTTTGCTCAGTCTCCATGTTCTCCTGCTTAATGTTGATAAGGAAGATGCTGTGACTCCGAGAACTGTGCTCATTCATGTCTGCAAGGTTGAGAGAGAAAAAGAGACAAGTTTTTTTTATTTCTCAAAAATCAATCCTAGGCAGATATTTCCTGCACTGAAATTGTACAATATTCAGCCCACTGAAGGCTCTTTGAGGCATGAAGATTGGCAGTATTAGCTTAGCAGATGACTTTGTTGTCTGTTTTCTACTATAATCCTCATATGTGCAGGTCTAAAAATAAGCATCACAGAAACTTGTAAACTGTTAGATTTGAGATAAAGGCAAAATCAAAATGCTACTCCAGTTGAATATACTAAGAATTATATTACTTTCAACTCTCTACAGGAAATTCCCCACATTCCCCACAACCACGTCCCATGTAATACTTTGAGTTGCAGAAAAACCACAACAAAACAGAATAGGATAAAAATAGTTGTGACTGCTTCCTAATTATAAATTGAGAACAAAAAAAAAAGAATCCTTATGTATGGAAAATTAATGATAAGCTGGTCTTTGATGCAGGATTTTTTATGTACAGTAACTGGATGATTTGTATACTCCCCTGCCCCTTCTTTCCTTCAATCATGTCCAATTCTTAGAGATTGCCTGGACAAGCTCCCACAATCTTCTTGGTATCGTTTTTCAGAATTGGTTTGCCATTGCCTCCCTCCTAGGGCTAAGAGAAAGTGACTGCCCCAAGGTCATCCAACTGACTTCATGTCCAAAGCAGTCCTATCCTGATGCCTAAATTGCTACACCAAACTGGTTGTCATTTGTATACTAGGCCATACTAAAATAATATTATCTTCTTCAGTTTTTATTAGACCTAGCCTGTCATCAACTTACATTTTACACTTTAAGCATGAGAGTAAGAGACAGCAAAGTTATTAGTTTATCTCTTAGTGTCAGTTAAAAATCTTGCGGGATGATTATTGCTTTCTCTCAGCGTTAAATGGAGAGGCTGAGATTTACTAGTAATCTCTATCTAAAAACTAACCATCTCTCGTCCTGCTCACCTTTATTAAAATTGGCTGCTGTAACCTTTAAGGGATCATTGTATTTTTTATTAGTGTATAAATATGTTAACAGGAGCTCATTTAGCCTCATAAAGCCATCATATAGATCTGGGTAAAACATGGAGGTATCTTTGCCCCAGAGGTAGTATTCAGAAGGGTCTGACCAGTTCTGGAGAACAGGTAGCAAAAGTTTTGAGTAGTTCGGAGAACCAGTAAATACCACCTCTGACTGGCCCCATCTGTTCTCTGCCTCCAGAGTCCCAGCTGATCGGGAGGGAATGGGGATTTTATAATATCCTTCCCCTGCCACGCCCACCACGCCCGCCAAGCCATGCCACACCCACCAAGCCACCCCACAGAACAGGTAGTAAAATTTTTTGAATCTCACCACTGCTTTGCCCTCAACACTGTAAGAGCCTGCCCCTTCCTGAAAGTTACATCTCCACTGCCGAGTGTGACATACATAATTTGTGCTCTGTCCTTTCAAAGCATGGTCCTTACACTCTTAAGTGATATCACTCTGATTTTCCTTGAGCACAAGACCTTTTCTTTTCACCCATTTTCTTCAGTACAGATCTATCTGTACAGTCTGTGACCCACTGAACCAATGAAGGAGTTGGTCCAAAGCTAAAACCAGGGTTTTGGGGGGGTGATTTTCCATTCTCTGGGCTAACCAAAACTGGCAGTTTAAGGATTTCCAGAGTCTTGCCACCAGTTCCCACCCCATCCTGGCATCTTCTGCCTGAAATCACTGCCTCAATCTGACATAAACAACCCTCTCATTTTTGCTGCTTTTCTGGATCTGTAAAAGCAAAGGAGGTACGAAGTTCTCAGAAAATAAAAAATAGTTGAAAAGATCCTAGTGAAGCAGACAGTCTTCCTGCCTTGTATGTGGGCTCCCCAACTGCCTGTCCCATATGCCATCATCCTTTCCCAATTGCCTGTCTTGAAAACTCACTGGTGACAGCCACGTGGCGGTTGGATTTTCCTTCATCAATAACATCCAGGATTTCTTCAGGACTGGAGACAAACCGTTCAGTGCAGCCCTTAAGCAAAAAAAGAGACATTATTTTGCTCCTGATCCCATCACTCCCTTCAGCTAATTGCCATGCTTTGTTCCTAGTTATCTCCCTCAGCCTTGCACCTGCATAGCTTTTCCTGAGTTATCTCAAAGGTGCTTTTTCAAAAGGCAACTGGGCTTTGTTTTTTCCTTGAGGAAGACATTTTGCTTCTCATCCAAGAAGCTTCTTTCAGTTCTGACTGACTTTCTTGAATGAGAAGCAAAATCAGTGGTGGTATTTAGCCGGTTCGGAACGATTCAGGGAAACATTTTTTTCCATAGTTCGGCAAACAAGTTGATCCCACCACTGATTGGCTCTGCTACGCTCACCGGGGTTGCCATTCAGAGTGGAGAGGTTGCAAGGGCGTGACTGGGAGTTGCGCTGATCAGATGGGAGGCGGAGAATGGACTGGCCGGTCAATCAGCTGGGAGGCTGCCCCACACCCACACCCCCACACCTCTGCGGCCCATTTTTGGCCTAGATGGCCTCCTGCAAAATCCTTCAGCAACCACCATTCCCTCACTAGCTTGCTTTCCAGCTTCATTCTCTGGCATGCAGGGCAACAAAAGAAGAACATATGACTACCAGTTTAAAAAAAGTTCAGTCAGACCTTTCAACTTCGTGAGATCTTTTTATCCCCCGAGAAGTAGGAGGGTCTGACTGATTTTTTTTTTAAACTGGTAGTCATGTGGTCTTCTTTTGTTGCCCTGCACACAGGAAAACGGAGCTGGAAAGTAGATTAGTGAAGAAATGGTGGTTGTTCTGGGATGGGGTGGAATTGAGGATTTTGCATTATGATTGCTCATAAGTAAGAACCAGTAAAAGAGGAATGGAAAAATCCCTATCTGTAGATCA